TAGAAAGTTGCTGTCCAGAATTTCGGGTATGTCGATGAACATGATTCCGACGATTAACTCACTAACTTCAACATTCCAACGCCGAACTTTCTTTGCAATACCTTCCGGATGTTCCTAATAATTGTTAGAGAGTTTATGGTAAGTATTTGGGATGAAATAATATGAATTTTGGTGAAGAAAAACATGCCAACCCGAGGAGCTCGCCACCACTGGCGCAGTCCCGGTATTTTGGCCATATCTTCTTCGTTACTTAACGAAATCGCGAGCCGTTTGTTGGGTTAGATTCGTAACGTCCGGGGCTACAACTTTGGTTCAAGAAGTATTTTGAGATAATGGATGGAAAATTTCAGTTTTTACCTTGAAGTTGATGCTGCGTTTTTGGACTCAAAATTTGGAAACTTTGGATGGTTTTCTTGCTCCTTCTTCTTCTTCCTTAACATACTACCATGGAGTTGGAGTTTTCTTTTCTTCTTCTTGTTGTTGCCGACAGAGAGAGGGAGAGATGGAGAGGATAAGATGAATGTTGATGATGGTGGATGATGGTGAAGATTATGATGATGATGGTAGTGGTAGGGTGATATTATAGGGAAAAGGAATTGGAGGTATATGGTAGTGGGGTTGGTTTGATCGAGGATTGGAAGGGATGGGAGTGTCTCTACGTGACTTGGAGGATTTTGGGGAATCAAATTTATTTTCTTACTCCGTAACTGATAAACTGACTAAAACGATACACATTTTTTCGCCCAAACTGTTCCGAATTGAAAACAAATTGTATTTTTGGAATCAGACTGTCAAAACTAGAATTTTGACGTAATCAAAATATTTTTCTGAGAACTATTATTTTTCTCAGTGTCCGGGTTTGTCTCAGTCATAATTTAATATAATAATATGAATGAGATAAAAATATATGAATAAAATCCAAATGATAAATATGATATTGTCAAGTGTCAAAATTATGATTTCTAATCTGATGAAATCACTTTTGAATTTAGTTTATTTTATGGGTCAAAGTTACAAATTTTACTATTTCAAATTGACATACCTTGAAATCTACAAATTAGATTGCTTTATAGAATGTACCGTTGGATTCGTCTCTTCGAGACATATCCATAAATATAACTTTTTTAACAAAAAGTCATTATTTTGAAAATCCATTTATTTTTAGTCAAACGTACAAATATTCCTTATTAGAAAAAAACTACTTTTGTTTTATAATAAATTTTAGGCCATATTTTGTGGCGTTACACGTAGCTAAAGGCTACAATCAAGAAGAAGGCATTGATTTTGAAGAAACGTATGCACCTGTAGCACGTTTAGAAGCTATTCGCTTACTTCTTGCTTTTGCTTCGTCTATGGATTTTAAACTTTATCAAATGGATGTTAAGAGTGCCTTCCTCAATGGTTTTATTCAAGAGGAAGTGTATGTTGACCAGCCCCCGAAGTTTGAGGACTTTGAGTTTCCCGATCACGTCTTCAAACTCAAGAAAGCGCTCTACGGTCTTAAACAAGCACCACGTGCTTGGTACGAACGCTTGAGTAAATTTCTTTTGGATAGTGGTTTCCAAAGGGGAAAGGTAGACACCACACTTTTCATCAAGAGTAAAAACAATAACATCCTTTTGGTTCAAGTTTATGTAGACATTATATTCGGTGCTACTAACGAGTCTTTGTGCAAGGAATTCTCAACGCTAATGACTAGCGAATTTGAAATGTCAATGATGGGCGAGCTCACATTCTTTTTGGGACTCCAAGTTAAGCAAATAAAAGATGGCACGTTCATTTGTCAAACTAAATACTGCAAGGAGCTCCTAAAACGGTTTGAAATGGACAGCGCCAAAGCCATGGCGACCCCGATGAGCACGTCTGATCATCTTGACAAAGACGAAAAAGGTAAGGAAGTAGAAGTCAAAAAGTATCGAGGTATGATCGGATCCCTTCTTTATCTTACTGCTAGTAGGCCGGATATCATGTTTAGCGTATGCCTTTGCGCGAGGTATCAATCGTGTCCAAAGGAATCGCACTTAACCGCGGTGAAACGGATCATGAAATACCTTGTCGGCACGGTTAACGTTGGACTGTGGTATCCAAAAGGCTCTTCTTGTCATCTCGTTGGTTATTCCGACTCGGACTTTTCCGGTTGCAAATTAGACCGTAAAAGTACGAATGGGACTTGCCACTTACTTGGTAGCTCCCTAGTCTCATGGTTTAGTAAGAAACAAGTCAGTGTTGCGTTATCCACAACCGAAGCGGAGTATGTAGCCGCCGGTAGTTGTTGTGCTCAAATTCTTTGGATGAAGCAACAACTCATGGACTATGGGCTTAGTATCAATCACGTTCCTCTCCGTTGTGATAATACTAGCGCCATAAGCTTGACGAAGAACCCCGTTCTTCACTCAAGGACGAAACACATTGACATTAGGCATCATTTCATTAGAGATCATGTTCTCAAAGGTGATGTCGAAATTGAGTTTGTTGAAACACACAACCAATTAGCCGACATTTTCACAAAACCTTTAG